GTTGGTGATCATATTGCAATAAATGCTACACAGACTCTTCACATGTGTAAATAACACAGTGTTTTGCCTTTTAGATAGCCGATTTTCCTGGATCGTATGATGGAAAAGTCAGAATTGTATTAATGACATAAGAGGAATTCATACTGTTAGAATTAGTGCTAATTCTTCCCTTTAATAGATTTTTACAGCCATCTGAATTTAAGTACATAGGCTGTTTTGTTCAAAATATTTTTAATAAATCCTTTCAGTGTTCATACCTGACTACATGAGAGGATAACTGAAACCAATAAATTTCCATTTAATAAGCTAAGTATATGAAGTATTAAATAATATTGATGTTTAGCATCTTAAACGCTAGCTCTTAAGAGCATCTTAAACTCACATGCTCTACAAAATTCAATTCTTTTTTATCAATTCTAATAATCAATTCAGTCAATCAATTCTAATAATTCTCTAAATTAATAAAGCTATAGCAAAAGATTATAGTTACTTGTACATTTGTAGAACAACAGAGATTCATGACAGTAGAGTTTTTAGAGGAACAAAAATAGGTCTTTTTGTCCTAGATAAGTAAAGAAGGGTGAGTTATTCATGTGGACGAGGTGAAGAGGATTTGTTCTCCTTCTTGTCAGGGCTCAAGAGCAGCAAAGCAGTAGCCAAGTGATAACACCCAGGACAGTCTGGTTCCTTCCCTAATTTCTGCTTTCATGTTGTAAGAACATAGGAAAAAATGAAATAGATAATATTAAAGGTTTCAATTTCTGATTCAAATCTTATTAATTTCTTATGAAATAGAACAACTCAAACAGAAGGGACTAAGAAAACCTTTTCAATGTATGTTGCACAGAATGTTAGTACTTTCTGAATGTGTCCTAGATTTTATTCTCCAGGATAAGTAGAGAAGGTAATAGAGGTTGATAGTTATGCTGCACTAACAACACAGTTGTAGGCATGTGCAGAAGTGCATTTCCAGGCTATGGAAGCTTACTTGCATCTATGCATTGGTGACAAATAAATTTTTTGGGGAGAGAGGTAAAAGTTTAGGAGTCAGGTAACTGTTGTTGACAGTTATGGATTTAATCCTTTGTTTTTCTATTTGTGTCCCTTTTTTTCCTCATTACAGATTCTGAAATGATAAGTAACGAAACTTTACACAGTAGCTCATGGGTATGCTTAAGACCTAATTGCTTCTGGATATGGCATTTTGTTGTGTTGCTCCTCAGCATAGTTAAGAGACCAAAATTTGGTCCTGCATATCTGTTGTAAAGCCTTTTGAACCCAATATAAAAGAGTTTTGCTCTGAGTGGGGGGGGTTGTTTCAAATGTACTCAGTCTTTATTATCACTTCATTAATGATGGGATGTTTAATTTTCTCTGTATTACTACTTAGTCCTTTCCACAAAACACACTTGGAACTTAATGCTATTTTTTACCCTCTTGAAAATCTAGTGAGAATTTCATTATAGACTCTTATTGTTTACTATGGTGTAACATATATATGTTTGATTTTTATGTAAAAGTGAGAACAAAATTTAAAGGTGACATCTCAAACTATGTTGCTGTAACAGCTATTGTGAACTATTTGGTACTGTTAGGAGTTTTCAGGTAGACTGACACTGCATCAATGCTTATGCATACTTACTCTCTCCTTAAGTAATCAAAGATACTAGAACAACTGGTAAGGTGCCTGAGTGTTTGATGACATTTACCAGGCCTCGCTCCTCTGAAGGCCGATCACAGTCCTGTAGTGATACCATTAACATCAATAACAACTTCTGCAGAAGTCATGGTTTTGACTAGGCTTTGGCCTTTCTTTCGAAGAAAAGACAACTTTTTTTCGTTATCTTTCTTCCCCTTTTTTCTTTCTTTTTTTCCCCCCTCTTGCTTGTTCGTTCTCTCTCTTGATCTATTGATTTAGATTTTTCTGGTGGTTAGAGGAGTTCCCTGCAGAAGATGGTTTACCCAGCGCAAGCTGACTGTAGTATGTATTACAAAACTATTTTTTTGTTTTGTTTTTGAAATTACCTTTGCCAAATGCTTAATACCTACATATTGCATATACTTATATATGTTGAGAATTAATGTAAATGTTAGTACTAGTCTGTCTTTAGTGAAAGTAACTGACTTAGTTTTATCTTAGAAAAATGGTTCAGTGTTTGCTTTTTTGAGCTTATCTTAATTGTGCTCTAGAGGTTATTTCCAGATGAGCTTCCAGCCAGGCAGCAAACTAGTCCATGTATTTATATCTTGATTTTTTTTTTCTGACTGTGGTTCAATTCACAAAGTGCTTTAGTGCCTCGCTAACAGATAATCTGCTGCACTTCAGAATTGGTATCTTTCAGCCAAATCATTAAAAGTTCAGTGAAATAACTAAAATGAACACCCCTGTATGGGGTGGACCACTCATGGACCACCTTGAATTTTATGACTTGGGAGGTTCTCTTGAATCCAAATTGCTAGTTGTGGAACAAGGGTGTGCCTTGATGAAAAGCACATTCACCTTACGAAGGCAGCCTGAACTTACATATAACATCTCTCCTTAAAGGTGGCAGTATCAGGATCCTTCTGGGAAGCATCATAGAGCCACATTTCATCTCCCTCCATGGTGAGGTAACACATGGAGGTGGGGAGAGGTGTCCTACACTGGAGCAGATAGTTGGGGCTTCTGAGGTAAGTTCCAAAAGTCACCTCCCCTGCCCTGGGGCCCTGGCTTTTCTCCACGCACTGTGAATGAGAAGGCAGCTTAATTACAAGGCTGTGAATGTACTTTTAAAATGCTGCTCTGGACATAGTTGAGGACTATGCCAAGCTGGCATGACAATATTCAGCAGTTTCAGGGATTGAAGCCTGTCGGTTTTTTAATGGTAAAAAGGATGTAATAAATTGCCTTTTATGTTTCAAGAGTAATTTGCTAGAGTGATTGCTGCATGTGCTACTTCTGCCTGCACGTGTGCCCTGGGCAGCTCTCATCTATTTGTAATCATGATTATTATGTGTGCAGAGGGGGATTTGCACCCTTGGCCTGTGAGGGCTGGAGTTGCTCCTTTCCAGGCTTCTTTCAACATGTGTGTTTTTTTTTTTTTTTTCCCCCTTTTGTGCTGGCTATTCAGTTAGGAATAGCATTAGATTACACCCAACATTGGGATGATTACTCTTTCCTCTCTATCGTTTTAAATAAATTTTAATGGCAATATAGAGGAAAACCATGAAATTTTCTAGTGAGTGTGTGAGAGAGGCTGGAAGGAGAAGGTTAGAGTTAAGTGATGTGTGTGAGAGAGGCTGGAAGGGAAGTGCAGATATTCTTATGGGGAGACTGAGATAGGGTCCAGAAATCTAAGAAATAACTCAAGTTGAAAAGGGGCAAAGGGGAAGAGTTCAGTGACCACATATGGCTGATATAAATGTGCAGAACTGATAAAGTTTGCTGAATTTCAGCTGGAAGGTCAGTGTCTGTTAGGAACAGATACAGGAACCCTTAACTGGGATAGAAATCTGAATCTACACGCTGTGATTTTCATGGTAATGTTTTGCTAAGTAGAAAAGGGAATAAATGGTATTATACAATTTTCAGAAATATCCAGAGTAGTGTGCCAAACAAATGGCAATACTTATACAAAAGAGCCAAATCTCAGGGTTTATGACTTTTTATTTCTGGAATGTGCTATGTTTGGTTATCCAATACATCCCAAAGCTGAAGTAACTTATCCTGTTCATAGCTTAAGACTATAGATAAAACACACTGATATAATGATAACTTATTCAGATTTTTATGAACCATGCTATTGGAAAAATTGGTGACTCACAATGCTTGCTACTGTTTAGATTGCACTACATTTGGACACGAAAGTATAGATAAAGATGAATCCAGGTTTGTTATTATTTAAATACATGTTAAAGCTTTCCATAACTATATATATATAAAACCAAAAAAAGACTTTTGATTCTCCTTGAAATGTCATGATCTAGCCAGAGCCCTTTAAGTACCCTAGTCTAATCTTGGACTCTTTAAATTGTATTTAAGTCTAATTTTATTAGGCCTTTGCCTATATGTTTATTACATTAAAAACGAAAAAATAAAAAGAATACCTGGTCCATTTGATCTTAGCATTTCAGCTGGCAAGCAGAAGATTGTCTTGTATGTTCTCCCAGATTTTATCTGAAATGGAGAAAGGAAAGAGAACACCAACAATAAAAAGCTATTTAATAAGTTATCCAGTGTTATTTTTCAACTTTTTCAATAAAGGAAAGGAAAAAACTCATAATACTACAAATTATGGCTCTGATATAGTTCATATATTACAAAAGTTTTTAAAGTTCTGAGTTGATCTCCAGAGGTCCCTTCAAACTTCAGCCTTTCTGTGGTCACCTTTATACTGTTTTAGGAGAGGGAAAAAAAATTTTTACTTCCAAATAATGCAGCATATATGTGAGCATATTCTCGTCCTCAGACTGCTTTTAGCACTAATGCAATAGCTAGTTATACTTCAGGATAAACAGGGAGGGACATTCAATTTCAAGGGCATCTAAGGTTGAGATCTGAAGACTAAAAATGAGAGTATGCAAAGCAAGCTTCACAGCAAGCCTTTCGAAATGATATGGCATGTCACAGTGTCATATGCAGCCTTTCATGCCTGGTCTTTCAAGAAGACCTGAACTGATTTAATACCAACTTGTTGAATATAAAGTAAATAAGCATGTTAGCAGACTAATAATACCTCATGTTGTAAATATTCTGTCCTTCAGTTACTATAGGTACAGAAGGGTTGTTTCACATAATTTACGGTTTCCATATAATGTGATATTCAGAGAGCATGGGAAATGTTGTAAATTCCTGATGAAACGCAAGCATATGTCTGTTCACTATTAAATGTGATTCACTGCAGTTTCTACCTTTCTCTTTTCTCTGTATTTTTTTTCTAGATGGTATTTATGGGTATTTTACACAGATGGAGATATGGAAATATGAGCTTTCTATTCAGAGTGAGTGCAGAATAATTTGGGTATAAAATTATTTTGAGTTATTCTTTCAGGTTGCATGTTTTCCATCCTTACTTATTTTAAAGACTACTGCAAGAACTGGAATTCAGATGAAAATTGCAAGGAGATTATAATTAAATAACACCTCAAAACTTAAAATGGTATTGATGTATCAGCTATACTTCATATGATGAACCAGACCTATCACCATGGCATTTAATGCCTCTACTCTAAAGTTTTCCTACTCCCCCAGGTATGTAAAAAGATCATTCTGTTTATCTCAATGCTGTCACAGAATCACATTTTAGATCACAGAATTGAAAATTAGTTACTTATATCACTGACAAGTGTGTTTCATTTTGCTATTGTGCTCTCAATACAGAAGTAGAAACTTCGGGGTAAAGCAGAACTGAAGAGTCTGACTACCAAGAGGTGCAATCATCTGCATCTATTAGTCTTCCCATCTGCAAATCTGTGAGGATGGCTGCCCAATCATGTGCCCAGGTATAAACCTGATTTATGGTATCTTTTTCAAAATCAATTTTTGCTCTCTTAATGCATTAGTTGTGCTTAGTGATTTGTAACATTAATATTCAATAGTATTTTATAAAATTAAACAATTGGGGGAAAAAAAAAATGCATTGAAGAGAGCTATTCTTATTAAATGCTGATGTTTGTAATAAATAAAGGTTTCTTATCCAGTGCTCTTGTCTTTAACTCCCTGTCATCCCAGCCCATACTTCTTGGACTATGATGGGCTTTTGGATCTTGGAGTAACATAACAGCATGTTCAGTAGAAACTTGACCATTTGTTTAACCAGAATGATTTTGTTAGCTTTGTGTTAATGAAATCTTTTCAAGTACCTCAGATGCATAAGGAAAACGTTTCTAAGTTTAATACTTATTAAATTTGTACAATATTATAAAAGTAGACTTTTTATAATCCACCTGTAATTTCTTGTTAGAATGCAATTTTGCTATGCTTTCACTTCCTATTTTTTTAATCACAGGTAACTAATAATTTAATGCATTAAATTCTTACTCTGTTTTTGGCATTATAGATAGTTTGGGTTCTCTTCACCCCTCTTCTTTCATATTTACTTTGTATAGAAATTGGGAAGTTGAGCTTGGGAGTTTCAAAACGCTTTCTTTTCTTGAGATATGATTAAAGTTTTTTGTTTACTTGGTATTTTGTGCTTCTTTCCAGCAGCTGACATTCAAAAGTGAATATCTGGATCTTTAGTTAAAACTGAACACTGTTTTGACCATATAATTTTGATATTAGATTGATGCTGCCAGTTTAGCTGCTAACAAGTTATATGACTAATAACACAGCTGATGGGAGATTGTGTGTTGCTTTATTAGAATAAAATTGTGTTTAGCTGCTCCATTGTCATCCACCCTGCATTTGTCATCTGCCTCTGCATCTGGTTGCTGAGGCCATGTAATACTAAAGATATTATTCGGTATTTGTACACTTAAACTTTAGCCTGTTTGCACAACAAATGGCTGGCACCTTAGGAAGAAGCGTGGGTTCCCAAGGCAAACACTGAAATTTGTGAGCTCTCTTCTTGCCTACTTTCATTCAGTTTTAGGAATTCTGATATCTAAATATGTAAGAATGTAAAGAAGTGACCCCATCTCCAACTTTTCCTGGGAATTGTAATAGTTGCTCATTTATTAATGACACTTCTAGAAACAGACACTCAGAACCAGCACTTTCTAAAAAGAATTTGCAGATTTGCTTAGCACAGTTCCAAAAAAAAATTGTTCTGCTGCGCTCAATAGTTTACATAATTTAAAAACTTGCATTTTAATTCTGACTGAATCGTTCTATGCATATTTGTTATACTATAAAAGTTAAAAATCTTACCTCCTGTTAAAGCAGTAGATGTTTGATTTAACCTTCCCCAGCTAAAGGGAAATCCTGAGTTTTTTTGTGCAGAGATTATGTCAATCCATACTGGATTGAAGGCAGTCCTTTTGCATTCCCATTGGAATATTTCCCTTCACGGTGTTTTGGCACACACATATACTGTTGACCAAGAACATGTGATAGACTGGATGTAAAAGTAAATCTGCATGGAAGCATTCTGAATTTAGTTGTAAATTTTACAACATTTTCTGTTAAAGCATGGCTGACATTTTTCATGTTAACAATCTTCAAATAGATCATTATTTTATATTACTCTTAAGGAACACTAACAGGTAATAAAATAAATGGTGCACATATTGGAATGCAAGTAGTTGCTGCTGGCCTTTAAACATAGTCTGTACTCTTGGGCAATGTACAGAATCTCCCGTGTTTTCCTTAGTTATTTCTTCTTCGTGCTTTGCTAGTTTAATTCTAAAGACAAATTTAGTGGATCATGAAATGCTAAGTTAAACTTATTTCAAACTACATGTGCAAAAGATATGAAAAAAGTAACTGTGGTCTCCATTCTCAATTACACTTCTTTTCATAAAAGTGCTTTCTGTTAACCTTTTTCCCTGGTTTTACACCTCATTAATATAGCTGAATTATAGATCTTTTCTATAGAAGAGTTCATCAAACATTCTCCACCATTTCTATAATACAATTTTCATTTTATTTTAAACATACTTTGCATGATATAAAAATATTGATCACAGTGAGCTTTAACAATTGTTACTGCTATAAACAGGAATGCTGCACAATGTTTTTAGTGGAAATAAATTATATAGTCATTATCTCTTAAAAAAAAAAATCACAAGGAGAACCTAGGCTGTTTGGTCATTGGCAGGAAATAACTCCTTACTGAGTTCTTTACAAAACACGGACCCCAGTTATTTTCTTCTTTTGCTTTCTGCATCTTGAGGAAAGCAGAGTGTGTCTGTCTCTGAAAGTCCCACATGGTCTCTGGTGAACATTTAATTCCAAATATTAGCAAAGTTTCTGACGTTCTTTTGTTTGTTCTAATGGAAAAATGTACACCAAAATAGCGAGGAGTGCTCTCTTCACTAATTCATGAGTGGTCTTCTCCAGTATGTGGGTACACAGCGGCACACTTCTTCGCTGAAGTAAAACCCAGAGTCGCAGCGTTTCGTTCGAACTGTACACGGTGGTCTGTAACAACTACAGAAACGAAAGAAGAGGGCATTAGTAAAACTTAATCATTGAGGAATACAGCTCTATGGCATTTATGATGGCATCGCTCTAAATAACATTTAATTCTATAATTTAATTCATGTGATTAGGTATCTTTAAACTTCTGTTTATATTCTTACAACATGTCAATTGGATTTTTCATCACTAAAGACATTAAAGAGACTCAAGAATGTTACTGAGAGAAATTATGGGGCTTTATAAGTGATATATACATATATATATATATGAAGTGTTTCTTAGTTGCATTTATCTTAATCATGGATCAAATTAATTCTAAGTAATGGATCAAAACTCAATTTGGAGACACAAAAATTTTTGGTACCTCAGCCAGCTCACTATGCTACCTGTTTGAGAAAACAATCCAGAATGAGTATGTACGAAAATCTACCATTATCTTCATCAGAATGGTTTGTCTTATTCACTAAAACAATAGCCATTTTATATCTATATCTATCTATCTATATATATTTTTATATATAATATATATGTGATTTCACAGTGCTGCTGATCTTGAAAATGAGAGTGTCTATAGATCCTCCCTGAGTTCAGTGGAGATATATCTGCTTATTCTGAGAGAGGATCAGAGCCTGCATATTTCTGATAAATCTTATAGGAGAAAGAACAGAAATAGCACTTAAGTAAAATAAACTTAATTGAAATAGATCATTAAATCACTAATCACATCTAACTAAAAATCAGGAGAATTTCCCTGTAGAGATTATATGAATTAAAAAATAGAAGCTATACAAAGATATTATCTGTGGTTGTCCCTGAACTCCTCTTCCTTTTTTTATTTTTTTTCTATTAAAACAACAACTTGACCTAAAATAACCTTACTACAACAATGCTAAATACTTTCTGGTGCATAATGGAGACAAAGAACAAGTCTGAGTCTCTTTTTTTCAGACATTGGCAATGAGTCAAAAGAGAAAAGTGCATGTTTCGAATTTCAACACACATATACTTAAAACTTGTGTTTAACTAACACGTCTGTGAAACACTGATATTACGATCTATTACGATAATTCATGCTTACTTCAGTTTAAAGACATTACAGTATATTATATTAAGGCAATTTCAGTATCCTCTTCCCAAGGCAATTTCTTTGTTTCAAGTTTGTGGTTACTCTTATTATTGTTGCAGATATGTTAATATGTTGCATGCTTTTTTTGGACACCAAATTGCCACTTTGTAATAATTTGTTTATGGTATGAGGTCTGGATGACAATGATGTTCATTCAGACCAATTAGTTCAACCAATGAACATGGATATGAGGAAAGCGGGAAGGAATGAGGAAGACAGTAACCACGGCACTTACTAACTAGTCGGATCTTGTTCAGTGTTTTCAGTGTCATTAATCATTGTTATTTCACCGGTGTGACTTATTCGAGAGCAGCATTACTCTGTGCTAGCTCTAACAACTCAATATGGGATGACTCTTACTTGAGATCAGAGTAACAACTCAAGGAAGTCTCTCAAAGCCCTATTGCTTTTTATATGCTTCATAATTTAAAAAATTTTTAAATTTCCAAAATTTATGTGTTTCATAACCACAACAGAAACCAGAATTACACCACATGCAATTCTTTCTCTCTTTCTTAATAAGAAGAAGTGTTTAGCAAAAAAGGAGCACCAAGAAGTATCCTATGTCCTTCTGATCCTGGAAACAAGAAGGAGATTCAAACTCTTTACAGCATTCCAACACAATACAGAGAAAGGCACAGCTCATTTCTCTACTTAAAAATACTAACCCACTAATTAAACTGTGGCACTGGCACTAGCAAATCTTATTTTTTTAAAATAGCTGATTTTTCCAGTTGTGTTGTTAAATACTGTTGAAAATGCACATTAGTGCGGTGCTGTGATTCCTTTTTGTTTTATAGTAAGAAGAGCAGACCTGTGGTGATAAGGCAGGATGATATATAACTTCAGCAAAATTGTATGAGCTAGAAGTAATATTGTTTTTTATAATCTAGACTCATTACAATTTTTGCTATATATATATATATCTTTACTTTCCACAGAAGTCTCCTAGAACTGCAAGATTTGTTACAAACTCAGAAATCTCAAGTAGCATCTGAGTGACACAAAGGACATGCAAAACTTCAGAAAGTAAAATGATGGTGTATCTAGAACTAACTCCTGAAAACCACTTAGGACTATTTCAATTATTAGAATTGCCATATTCAGTTCTTGTAGAAAATAGAGTGGGATTTTTTAAACAGCCTAAAAACTGGGAGATTTAAATAACTTTTTTTAGAAAAAAAAATGAAATGCTACTAATAAATAAGAGATATTAAAGGAAACTAAATATACTTTGAAATATTCATTATGCCTAGTTGTTTCTTTCTAGAGATGATAAAAGTTATAGGAGATAAACAAAAAGAAGTCATACTTTACTTAGGGCTAGGATGTGAGTTACAGCTAATAAAGCACACCTAAAACTTTATATCCAAAATAATGAAAATTTTAAAGACTTAAGTTACCTGCACGTCTGGTAGTGGAACCTTTTTCCTTTTAAGAAACATTTATTGGGAGATTCTGTACATTCACAGGTGCATTTTGCAGGATTGAGCGGCTGATGTTTTGGACAGGTTTTTTTACATACACACTGGCATTTATCTTCATCAAATTCTTTGTTGGGCCCACAGGAAGAAGGGAGAAGTTTGTTCTTGCACATGCACTGACACGATGCTCTATCCAGTTCTTTGTGAGGTCCACAGCTGGAGGGCCGCACACCCCCTTTGCAGACACATTGACAGGTTTCTTCATCCAGCTCCTTGTTTGGTCCACAAATATGGAATCCTTCAGATGTGTCTAAAAATCAGGCAAAGTTGTTGCATAACTATCAAATTTTAACTGTATCTATTTTCCCATTTGCAAATGATAAAAACAGTAGCTTTTCAAGAACTAAAGTAATTAAAAAATGAGGTAACATTCAGTAATAGCATTAAAAAAAAAGATTTGACTATTTCATTTTCAGCATGTTTACTTCTCCTTTAGATAAAAAAAAAAAAACACACGGAACTGCAGCTGATACTTTAAGTAAAATTACCTACCTGTATCGCCAGGCTGAGAAGAGAAACCAAAATCATGTTGTGCCAAACATCGACAAATTTGATTATTCCAGATATGATTTTTTGGACAGGTCTTGTTTGCTACATGACACCTATGGGATAAAATACATTGTTAACTTATTACTATTAAAAAAAAAAACAACCCTTCACTTGTAGACAATGATTGCATTCACTTTTCCTCCTACAAAATATGTAATTTCATATCCTGACAAATCTATTAGCTGAAGTTCTCCCCACTTCAGAAATCTTCAACCATTTGTTGATGTTGCCTTTTCATAGATCAAGTTTTAGTTATAATTTGTCGAAACTGTTATTGGTGATTTCTTATACAGGTTAGTAATGGATTTAACTCTTAAATGTAAACATTCCATACAAAATAGACCATAAAATTGTAAAAATTATTTGTATACCAAACAGGTGCTAACAGGCATAGATTTTCCACATTGCTCTTCACAGTACAAAAATGCTTCCTCACCTACCTCCATCTAAAGATAACTGATGGTGGTTTCCAAATTAATGCTGAAGACTGAGCTTTCAAATAAACCCAGATTATGGGAGTCTCCTCCCCTTTTAAGAAAATTCTATGTCATTCACAGACTCTTTCTCAAGAGCCACTCAAATCTTAGACAGCTTTCTTAAATCTCATCCTTTCTTGCCTCTAGTACGTCCAGATTTCATCAGCGATGCCTCTTCACAGCAGACATGAAAGGCAATCGCAGCTTCTCCCCGTTCAGTGCTCTGGTGGAGCTGTGCAGCCCCAGGACTGCTGCCAAACAAAGCGCAGCACCTCAGCAGCAGCTCGGCTCTTTTTAAGCGATGGTTGAACTCAACTGGTAGGTCCTTCACAAATAGACTATTCACATATAGTACTTGATCTTTCTCACTTGCAATCTCTTTATCTCCATGGGTGACATTAGAGGTTTTAATGAGTCGTGTCTAATTTCACGCATCTAGTCATTTCTGCATTGTTTCTGTAGTTATTACTAAAATTCTCATGGGATAAAACAGCACCTACATTACACATTTTAAGTAATTTTGTTTCCATTTCCCTGCGGAGCAGCATTACTCATAATTTAGAAATGCAGGTGCTAGGACATTCTTCCTTGATTATGAAGCACACCACTCCCCTCCACCACATTAAACAGCTTTTTGCCAGTAATGACTGCTCTAAGTTTAACATTATCCTGCAATGCTTCGTGTTTTATCAAGCTGTCCATTGTCATTTCTTTCTGCAAATGATCTCACTCGTGCTCCTTCCCTTGGCGACTTTTCTTCTGGGCATGGGTGTTCTTTTTCCTATCTCCTGTTTCTGCTTGAGCAACTGTGCACAGAATTTACAGACATATTCCTGTATTCTGTTTAAACAACAACTCAAACCCAGAGTAGCCTGGCTCTAGCCACACAAGTTTTAAACTAAATGCAAAAGGCAGCCAGGGGTGACGGTGTGAAGGAAACCTCAAGCACATATGAGCCATAATAAAATGATGTTTATAACACAATCAAGTTACCAAAGAACTCAAAGACAACTCTATATATTTCAATATCAGGAATCTAGACAACAGGCAAAAGGGAGCGCTCGCTTGCACGTTCTATCCTGGTGGCCAGCACTGAGAAATACAGAAGGGAAGATTCCTATGGCTCAGATTTTTAAGTGATTTATCACAGTGTTTTAGGAAAACTCAACAGAGCCAAAGAGATCAGATGTAAAACATTTTGGAGGCAAAAAAAAAAAAAGCCAACTTGTTACATGGCAGTATCTATCTACCCAGATAGTATGCAAGAAAGGGAAGTATTTACTGCTTACAAAATAAATCTGTGCCACATCTAAGATACAGAGCCCAGGTGCTCTGTAAGCACCTACTTATAGCAACACAGAGAAAAAGTCATCTTGGGGACTTTGCTCTATGTGACCCATAACGAAGGCTCAAAGGAAAAAATTGCCAAGTCTCTCAATTAAAAAAGACAATTTTCTAGTTTTAATACATCTCTTGATGAAATGTTATACAGAGAAGAGTACAACTCAAGATTAATCCAGGAGGCATTCTGAAATACTGATTAACATGAACTAACATGCCTCCCCTCCAACAATACGTGAAGGTAGATACTGCTTTTTAGAAGGAAAGAGCAGAGAAAAATGGGAAAAAGCGAGGACAAAGACTGTCCTGATGAAGATCTGCATATTTTGTTTAAAAGCTTATTGGGTTATTTAAAAAAAAAAAAAAAAAAAAGAAACAAAAGCAACCTACTATTTCTATATTGTCTGGCATTTTTCCCTTCTTTCTTTTCTTTTTGTATGCCTACACCAAGGCATAATCCAACCTTGAATTCCTATCAGATCCTCTAAGTATTGCTATCTTAAAAAACAAACCTACACTCTTGCAATAACAAAAACATTATGATACCTACATTAAAGTGAGCATATAGATAAACACATGTATAGATGCAGATCTGCTGCTGTGAGAAAAAAAGCAGATTTCCAAGTTTTGGCTTTCTAACAGTTTCATGAGCGTACAATCCTGTACATAAAAATGAGGAAGAGAGCAAGGACAGGGAATATTTTGGACTGGACTACAACTATGCAGCTCTTCTGCGGTTACGCCTTTGATGAATCAAACTGAGAAATTTCAATGAAAATTAGGAATCCTGCGTGAATTCTTTATAGGTACCCCACAAAATTTTTAGTCATCTAAATAACTTTAAGCTTAAAATTCTTATAAATAATTTTTTTAAAAAGGAAATGTAAAAACAAAGATCAAAAATCAAAACCTTCTGAGTGGTTCTAGAGTCTAAATATTAAAGATGGTGCTAGTATTAGAAAATCCTTTATGTTCTTGTCTAACATTTCTCAGCCTTTTGAAGTTTGCGTTCTTACTCAGGAAAGAGCTATTTTCTGTGTGCACTGGTCAAAGTCTCTCTGGCTGAAGGCAATTGAGCCATTATTTGCAATTTAAATATATAGTTAATAGTTTTCTGGCTGAAGTAAACACTTGCAATGGTAATTACAACCTCTCTCACTGTGAGAGAACAGAGGAGCTGTCAACAGCCAGTGTAATCTGACTTGATTACTTCTTTTACTCCCTGTTTACAACCTATTAATTAGTTATTAATAGATGTTTCCAATCCACTGTTTATGATACTCATTTTGATAAAGATTTTTAATCAAAAGAACATTTTTTTCTCCTCTTTAACAGCTGCTCACAAGAAAATAGAGCTTGAGAGAGAAATGTTGAGCACTCCTTACTTCCAATAATCAGTATTTTTGGATAGCTTTCCTTGATTTATTTATTTTTTTTTAAGAAGTTGATTTTATCCTTTTCAAAGGTCTGAGTCATTTATTGACCTGATCATCAAAATGTATGTATTTTGCAGGTAGAATGCATAGGTTGCTAAATTTTAAGATCCGTATACCAATGGCAAATTTTATTAAAACCAGTAGCAATTTTGTTTAGACAGAAATGAGAAGTGGAATAAAACCCCTCAGAATCTGTCTGAGAGCATTCATACCTCCAATTATATGGTATTTCATTACTTATGCATATCTTTGAAAAATTTTATATTGTTATATGAAACTATTTTTATGTTTTCTCTAAGTCTCAATTGCATTGCAGCTATTTCCACGAAAAAGGTCTCATAGTATTCCTTCTCATTTCTAAGTTATCTAGACCCAGTCTACACAACTGCATAACAAGGGCTCTGCTAATTATTTTAGTAACATTCTTTCCATGTAAAATGATATTCATTCCTTTATAAAACTTTGCATTCTGCTTTTACTAGTGTATATAAGTTGATCTAGCTTAAATGTGAAAGCTTTGAACATCATTTTAAATCTAATTTCACAGACTTGCTCAGAGTATGAAAGTGGTCTGTACTTACTGAGTTTGTGTTGCTGGCAGGGAACGTCTTATGATAGAATGAACTTGTCTGTAGACATCCAGCTTGGACATGCATCGGCAGGCCGTGTGGTTGGCAAAACTCACAGTCACAGGTTTGGGGCCATGAGACAGTGGCACCGTAATCTCAAACAGCTACAAAAAAAAAGAAAGGAAAAAATAAGTTTATAGATCAGTACCAGTAGAACTAAAAATAACATAATGACAAATGCACAAAAGCCATAAGGAAGTTAACTCTGGATTTTCATTTCTTTTCCCTCATCCAGTTATGCTAAGTAATTATTATGTGTAAATTGAACACGATAACTACGTTACGCCAATTGACATGCTGCCCTGTTACGTGCCTGCTCGCTTAGTACGCATTTAAATTAACGTTGCTAAAAAAGAAAAGAGTACAAAGAACTCATTCTTCAAGAGAAAATGAGTTTCCAATTGGCAGTCTTTCTTAAAAACAAAACCTAATATTTGGAAGGTGCTACAGTCATCCAAAAAGTCAAGAAACAGGAATAATTCAAAAAGGGAATAAGTTAAAATATAATGTGTCAGCATTACAGATAAAGACCTTAAGTGCAGTTACAAAGCAAGGCAGTGGATTTAGGCCATGACATTTCTGGATCAATGTGCTTATAGTTACAGTGTACCGTTTTTTTTTTTCACTTTCCAATAATTTCATCAATGCAAATTGCATGATTGCCCTAGAAGTACATCTTGAATTGCTAGCATTTTCTTATCAGGATAACAAAACCTTATTATTTTAATAAAAGTGATATTTATGTGAATCAGTAAATTCTTGGTTTTTGTGGGAAATATAGTTCTACTGATGGATGAGCACAACTTTATATATACTCTGTGGGAAAAAGTGAACATGGGATAATGTACAAACAGCAAACATTTCAAGTATTTAACTTAGGACATTTACTTTATCAAAATAATTTGGATTTCTGAAATACAAATCTTGATACAAACAAAACAAATGCTTCATTTTTGTTGTATTTTAAGTAACATAATAGTGCCCAGTTGCCATTTATGTGCTTACTCACTTTTGCAAATACATTTAAAAAGCTTTCATCCATCTTCCAGGGGTTTAAATACTTACAAAAACACTATCAATGGTTTTCATTCCAGTTTCAATTGACAGAATTGAGTGTTACGACAAAGTAGGTTTTTTTCTGAAATTTATTTGCAGTATTATCACAGAATGGTTGAGGTTGGAAGGGATTATACTTCATCATCATCATCAGAACTTCACAATATGGCATATAGAAAGTATGTAAACATAATAAAAGAATTGATAGCTTATTCAATATACAAAGCATATTTACCAGGATGTCTTGAAAACAGTATCTTGCGCCATTTATAAGTGTGCACTTACTTGTAAGTGAACAGAGGTATTTATCAAGCACTCGCAAGGTGAAAGGAAGCTTATGCCCAAATTATAACAATTAAACTCAGGTTTCATAAAGTTTAATCAATTCTGATAAATATTTCATACTTTACAAAGCAAATCTTGGCAGTATTTAGCGATCAAATCTTTAAAAATATTTAGCATTTGCAGTGTCATCGTATGACAACTGAATCAGCAAGGATATTAAATTGTCATCTTACTTTGCTGCCAAACCTTGTAATCCTATTATTTAACAAACATATGGCTCTGGCACCTTTAAGAACGCCAACTCTCATATCAGCTTTAAACAGTCATTTTGCAATAGAATTTCTGAAAATGAAAACTGATACACATTTACTTCTGTAGGAGGAGAACCAAAACAAAAAATATTTCCTGTATCTTCCAAGTACAGATGAAAAAACTGTCTATTGAGGGAGCTACCATGGAAAGAATTTCTCTTGCTAGTTAGAGAGATTTCTAGCCAAAGCATATTAAGATTTGGATTCCTGCTCCAGTTGCAAAATAAATAACCTTTCTTGAAATTTTGGTCCTCAGAGGCATTAATAAGATAATGGGACAAGATTTAAAGATTAAAGATTTAAAGTTTAAAGATTTGTACTAATAAAATGATTTCTAAGCAAATGTCTGCCTTTCTCAAACATAATTATCACCAGACAAACCTCCGGGGTTTTCACTAAGTTCAAAACAGACCTCTGGAAACAGTCTATGAACTTTTTATTATACTTACAATCCTCTTTGGCTTGCCAACCATATTGGCCCCTCTGTCCTTATCTATTATAAAAGCTCTTTCCAATTCATCACTAAAGCCATTCTTACCAATACGTCCCATCCAAAAAAAGCAACAATAACTATACACAGCTTTTTTTTTTTCCTACTCTTTTTCTACTGACGTTGTATATGAGCATTACTTTACGTACCTATGCACTGAATTCACCGAAGTACTCACCTATTGGAGAACTTCAATAGCTTTTGCTACAGTAAATGCACAAGGTAGAGAGGAAATTGCTGGTGATAGGAGGATGGTTGTTGTATTTTAAGATGGAAAGGACCATGTGTGTGTAAAATTTAAAATGCATACAGTATGCATTTCACAAAATATAAGTGAACTTCTTTGGGCTTCTGTTTTTTAAATGCTGTTCTTCATATAGGTGCCATAATGCTTGAACTACCTACACATGCATGAACTCCACCTCTTTTAAAAGCTGTGCACACTCATTCTTAATCCATATGAATATGAGGGGCAGAATAAAGGGTATGGATTTAATTATAACATTATTTCTCCAAAGAAAACCTTGTGCTTGCTTTCCTCTCAGAGGACAGCCTGAGCTTCTTCCTCTGAAGCTGAAATAAAAACCCACTACAGGGAGAACTGCTAAGACTGAGCAAGTGAAGATAAGCATTACTCTTGACATCACCCAAACCGGAGCTGACTAGCAAAAGGGGGTCAGTTTTGTGCTACATCTACTCCTGGACCAGGAAGGATTTGCTGAGCTGCAAATCCTAACAGAGGGTGGGCAGACTAGGACTATTGCTACAGTTTCCAGCCACCAGGATCAAAGAGGTCCTGGGCAAGCCAGTAAGCCCTCTGGACGAGCTGCACAAATACACGAAGAGGAAGTCCAGTCTTTGAGCAGGACTTACCAATTCTGAGCTGAAACATGAATCACCACCATCTCCATTTATCTTTCCATTTAATTTGTGATTCTGTGTCAGGTTAGAGGCAAATGTTGCTAACAACTATTCTCAAAGTAGCAGTACTACAATGCAAAAAAAACTAGTTAAACTGCATAAGGCTTGACCAACTGCTTTGACTTCAGAGAATTACTTTCAATTCATTCAAGTGTATTTTGTTCATAGTAATGTGTTTTATGTCACCTTCAAGTAGTTACTGTTCATATATAAAGTCAACAGAACAAAATCAAATGGTTATCTTAGAAACTAGATTATATCAAATTTGATATTGATATTACATTTCTAGGCCTCTCTTTTGGTAAGTGGCAGAGATTATAAATAAACTAGCATTTTTAAAATGACTATAATATAAAGAAGATTATTTTCTTTATTGGAAATGGTAGAAGATACTGGGGCATGAACATTGGAAATATTCTCACAATTTTTGTTTGCACATGCTATTAGCACACTATATGCTGATGCATACTCAAAAACCAGGTATTTATACTTCTTTTCTGAGAACAAAAATCTATCAAGCAGGGAATTCACATGAAATTTCTGAAAAGTATTTCTTACTGAAAATGTGTGTTTAATACTCAGTATAATTCTGTTTATATAACATCTGATATTTTAAAACACGGTCCGGTCTGAAACAAGTCTACATTCTGTTCTTGGCTACAATAGCACCATCTCCAAATCCATTGAAGTTGTTGAAGTGGAAAAAAAAATGTACATTTGTAATCTGTTTTGGAACCACCACACTTTGTTTAGATAAGATCTCTTATCTCTATTACCCTCAGTAATCAGGTCAGATACTTTTAACGCATCTCCAGTTTATCTTTTGTTCATCTCTGCCATCCCGGTCACAAACCGAACAACAGTGGACACCATGGGGCATGTTTGGCAACACGTAAGAGCCCAATGTCAGTACCTAGAAAGGATTTTTGCAACACAACTTCAGCACAGCATCTGTGTGCAAGGCCAGGTTTTCCTTGGTGTCTTTTTTGGCACCACTGCCAGCTGCCTGGTGCCCCTGTGGTGCCTCCTCTGGGGTGGCTTGGAGTGGAGAGAGGATGGACTGGCAGATCTCTCCCACAGTGAAGAAGCTGGTTGTTAAAGGGCTAAATCTTGCCTCTATTCTCTGCTTTAAATCATAGTAAGGATTGAACTAATGCATGCTACAGGCAATAAAGACATTTTCCTCAAGGGCTGACACCTAACAAATGTGATAGGCTTTCCAGACTAAAGAACTTAAAGAATGAGGCTCGCTACTGTAAGAATTTGGGCATTTTTTTTTTTCCAGAGTGAAGAGCCTTTTTTGATCACTATTTTTCAAAAACTGTTGAATATTAAAATACATTAAAGGGTAAATTGAAGTGCATTAAATTAATAATGCTAAATCTGGACAAAAAATACTCAAAAAATCAGACTTAATTTGCTCATGCTATTCTGTGCATACGTGCTTCCAACATCTATTCTGAGCACTGCATGGGGTTAGAACTCAATGGAAAAACAACCAAAGCAATAACTGCCAGTAAAGCTAGGGAGTATTATATACACCAAGAAAAAAATTAAAAACACACAAAAGCTGTGTAGAAACACAGCTAAAGTTTCAGTCTCTCCTATATGAACTAATACAGTAGTAGAAATCAGTAGCATACTGCTAATCTGAGCATCTAACATATACTAATGGAAATTCTGTATATCTAAAGAATACTCTGAGTCTGAGATGGTTTAGTCACTGACACCTATTTGCAAGTCTTCTGGTCTTTCTTATCCTTTCTAATATTTCTCTGCAAGGCCCAATGTTAAGGTCTTGGCTCCCTAGGTCTTTATCCAACACAGGGATGCTCCACACCAGCCTCACTCCAACCAGCTCACAGGCAATAATAAGTGTGCAAAGCCCAAGCCCCTTCTCTCCTTCTCTACTCCTGGTCATTTCTAGGGCTTAAAAAAATAAGCGAATAGATTATCTTGAACTGAACAAAAATGCACATTCCCAGTACAAATGAGTTTCATATGCTTTACCTAAAATAAAGAGAACTTTTTCAGAGGAAAA